TTTTTTTTTTTTTTTTTTTTTGATTTTATTTTATTTTTATGGATCCGAGAGGACTCAGCTGAAGATGTCGAGATCAGCCGAGCAATCCCCTCAGCGATCTCTTTTGTGAAGTTAATGTAGGGGTTTGGGGTTTTCAGGTTCAGGGTTTATGGCGAATGTCCGTGCAACTGATCTGAGGTTCCCTATGTTCGTTTGTGCACGTACCTCGTGTACAAATTGAATGAGGCTCTCCGTGATTTCAGAAGCGATTCAGAAGCTCTTTGCAGCTTGGTCTTACAAGTCAGGTTGGCTTCAGGAACATGAATGATCCACGGATGCAGGACAAGAGGCAGAGCCTCAAAAGCACTGCTTCATGTGCCTTGCAATTCATGTTTTTGTGGTACTCTTCAGCTCCGCAGAGCTCCGCAGGTGGGGAATGGGCGAGCGCTTTGTGCCGCTGGTGACTGCCGAGACCATTTCTCTCTCCTATTCGTTCTCTGCTGAGTCAAAGCTTGCAAGCGACTGGAATGTCTTGCATGTGGCAGAGGTATTCTGAAGTCAACCAGATCATAAGCACCCCTCTGCCGTTTCCCTACAACCACTTATGCCCCGGTCTCAGTGACTGTTTGCAAGATGGACCGTCGTCGTGGCCACAGCCTTTTCCAGTCATTCGTGACACTTGAGGCAAACTCCTGCTGTTTCTGTGCGGTCCCTGGGGCTCGGATGCTCAAACTACTTGACATGCTGAACATGTCAAATCTGGAGGTTCTTCCTGTCTTTTCCGTTCTTCATTGAACAGGAGCACTTCGGTATGCAAGGTCAGCACGTGTAGAATCTTCTGGGAACTCCAATCTGTGGAGGAGCTTGGGCTTTGGGTTAACATCGTTGAAAACACCTTACTCGCAGTCGCACTGCTTGGCCTGGAGCCTCAGGAACGGAATACCCTAACCATCCAGAACATTCCAAGCACCACGCACGAACAAGGTATGGACTTCATTGCAACAGAGCTGGCGCAGTACTTAGACAGTTTGAGCCTGCAATGGACATGGCGAGTTGAATGCACCATGCTCAGGAAAACCCATTCGGGGAAGATGCAAATGATGAGACCTCAGCAGAAACCGCAGAAAGAAAGGTCAGGTCTTCTTACTCCCTGATCATATGGGCTTGTGCAGTGGACCACCGGGTAAGGACTTGAACATGTATGACCGCATTGCCACACTGGAGCAAGAGGCAGGGGGAATCGGATCAACAAAAGTTACGTCATCATGACACTCAGATTTCAACAACAGCCTGTCACACTCATGGTTTTGAAAATGTGTAAAGTTGCCATGTGGGAAATGCATCCCTCTAGCAGACGAAGAATGAACAGGAGGACGTACACATAGCTGCAACACATGTCTAAGTCTCGTCTCTTGTTGTGTTTCAGGTGAGAAGAAGAGTAGCCATGAAGGAGTCATTAAGCATTTCCAGAAGCTACCTCAGCCGAATAGCAACTGCATGCTCTGCCAAGTGAAAGGACGCCACGCGGCGCAAGGGCCCAGAATTTTGAGTACGAGATCCCACCCAGCTAACGACAGCCCACACATGCCCACTATCACATCTTATCTTCACCCCTGCTTAAGTGAATCACTAATGAGACTTAACCTGGGGCGCAGGAGACCCCCCAAAAAAGTCATCCTGACAAGCAAGAGAGCGCGAGTCTGACAGATGCTTGCCATGTATGTAGCTTCCTTCACCGGAGACCAGACATTAGACCCATGTGGGCGAGCTGTAGGTGCTGTACCACTCATGTCGAATGGCCGCGCAGTGCATGGCAACAAGAACATGGCGAGGAACCCTGTGGGGAAAAACCGCAGAAGAGGACACCGCATCAGGACACGCTGGTCATCCGTGCCGGCCGCAAAAAACATGATGAGAGAGAGAAAGCAAGCCCGAAGTTCCAGAGAGTGCTGCCCTGTTCTGCATGCACACCATGCGCATCCATGCGCTATGCTCATCTATGCTCAGTGGCTGCACGATAAAGGCAACTGTTAAGCTACCCCAAGCAATGGCTTGCAATCCAGGCATGAATTGACACAACTGCAGAACAGTTGTCACTGTTTTGCACAAGCAGGCATCTTGCTTCGATCTAAAAGTTCTGAATCCTGTTTGAATTGACTGCTGCGTATTCGCGCTCCGCGAAATTTGCACCATGAACTAATGTGGCATTTGCCGCAATACGGCGCATTCAGTGTCTATAAAACAACACTAGATATTATGGGATGTTTTTGTTATATTGCAACAGACCAGCAGACTATCCTTGATATTAATCCATACTGTTATACATTACCGAGATACCAGTCACAGTCATCCTGGGCACTCTGGTGAGAAAAAACACCTCAAAACTGGCTTCACGTTGATTCAGTATGGCTTACTACATTGCAGTTTAGAGTTTAGGGTTCAGTGCAAAACCACCCGCTCTGAGGCTCAGCTTGAGATTGCGCACCACTGGAAAAGAAACAGGCCTGAGACGCGAACCTGATTGCAGGCCCCATTCAATGCAAGTACTGTAGTGGCCAGACGGTCCTGGCTCTTCCAAGACGCTGAACAGCAAGCCAGCTACTTCATTGTGGCTTGACGGCTTGTTCTCCTGGAGCCTACGGGCGTGACAGCACGGGGCATGGGCCCTTCATTGACGTGAAAAGGAAATGAAGAGCATTTGGGCCAGCTGAAGAAGAGTTCAGTTAGAGTTTGGGTCGAGTTCAGCATGCCGAGGGCAGGAGCATCAAGTCAAGCCAGGGAGCCGTGCTTTAGCAGACATGAGCCTACGTTGTTGATCAGTGCCTGAGGGCGAGCTTCTTCAACCCGTGAGCTGGTGTTTTTCTCGCGAAGGGTCTGTTCCTGTGAGTCGCGCGCCTGACCCGCGCCAGTTTCGTTTGAATCCCTGATGAGTTTCTGATTAATTTCCTTCGATCATGCCTGTGTTTTTTCAGAGCCGTGATTTTACAACGGAGAAGTTTGTCGTGGGCCGCAAGGAGAGGGCACAAGAGCGCAGAGCAACACAAAGAAAGGGAGCATCAATCATGTGCAGCCGAGTAGCGGTTTTCCTTAATTATGGTGAGGGAAGATCAGGGACGCAGTGTAGTGAAATCAGGAAGGACAAAAAGCCACGGCTCAGCTGGGGCTGCCTGATTGGTGGCAGGTCATGGTGTTCTTGAAGCTTTGTGGCGACGATGCGTGCCTGCAGAACTTCATTTGGCAGGACATTGAGCACCATCCGTCACCTGCAATGCCCGCTAGTTTGTGCACTTTAGTCTTTTACTTCTGAGCCCTGGAGGACTTCCCCACCGAAATCCATGAAGGGACGCAGGGCACTCAAATTCCGCCGTGGTGTTGTAGAAGCTGTGCAGGGTAGCGGCAAGAAATGTTCTTGAGGCCTCCAGTTCTGAAATACTTGGCGTTGCGCTCGCAGGCGATCCGAGTCAAAAATCTTTCCGCTTTGCACTTCCAGCTTTTTCTGCGCCTGGGTTCTAACCTTGGTTCTAAGGTGGAGAGCGGCGGGAAGGAGCCTGATGTTGTGTGGGGTGGCGCTTGTTCCAGGCCCACGACTGCAGCTGTTTGGCACAATTGGCACAGCTACGTTGTCCTTTTGCAAACATCAGGGCGCACATCTACGAGGGAATGCGTGACCTCGCTGAGGAGGACGAGGACTGAACGGGGGTAAACATGCCTCGTGATCTCAAACATTGTGCGTTGGGTTGACGATTTGTGCCACTGTCACGCGAGGAAGTTGACGCAAACTTCTCCGATGACTCATGAGAGCAAGATGCGTGAGTGCGCCCTATGTGGTAGTCTTCTTTGGACAAGTGCAACAACCGTCCAGGCCCTCAGAAAGTTCCCAGGCTAGTAGGGCTGCAGGAAAAAGATCTACCCGGAGTTGGAGCTTGGTGCCACGCAACTGCCTGACGAGCTCAAGGCAATGGACCCCACTCGGACTTGGAAGGATGGTCGAGGTCCGTGCGGCCCAGCCCCACGTGCTTGCTCAACTGGAACGTGCAACCGACGTTACAGTCTTGCTCGCATTCGTAGTGTACATAGATTGGATCCGGCTGGTCATCAAGCTTCTCAAAGCCTAGAAGCCTGCTGATATTCCTGCTGCCCCAAAGGAGGGCGGTAGTGACTGTCACTATTGGCTGTTTCCTACTGCATGCAACTGCCATTGACATGTTTCTCCACAAGGATGACCTTCTGGGACTCCCACTAGAGGAATCTCCAAATCTCTTGGGCCTTGTATAGCACATCAAGCTCATGTGCAAGTTTGGGTCTAGCACGGCAGAAATTGTGGGACAAATTTCGGCATGGTCTTCTTACTTTGCGCAACAGCTTGGCATGAAAGTCCAGGTTGAAACGTTAAATCTCCAAAATTCTTCAGGCTCATGAGAAAGTTTGTAGTTTGCCGAACCCCGGCTTCCTTGCAGGCCATGGCCTGACAGGCGCCGGGCGCTTGTTTCATCCAATGCTGCTTACTTTATTCTCATTGCCAGGCTCTTCATGAAAAGGCTCCGGCACCTCGGACCAAGGGGCCACATTGTGCACGTTTGCATCCCTGCGCAGGGATTGGACCGTATTGCCTTCGCTGCATGGCAGGTTTGCCGGAGTTTTGGAGTTGGATACTTTTTTGCTGCACGCCCGGCGCTTTGTTGTGAGTAGTTGCAGCCTCACTGACTTGTACAACATTTTTGGCCGCTGCGGAGGTTGCACTGCTCAGTCGCGCTGCGGGACATGGGGCAAAGCTTGTAGCCGGTCACTGTGAGCAGTGATTCCATAGCAATGTGAGTAGAATATCGTATTGTGCAAGCTACAATAATTACAAATTAATTCTATTATTGCCAGTATTACTACTATTACCAATGCTACTCTGTTTTGTATTGTCTTCTTATTATTATTGCCATTACAGTTACTGTTACGATCAGTTGGCCAAGTGTGGCCTGCAAGCAGGACAGCCATTTTGACTCGGCCATCTTGGAGGATCCAACGGAGGATCTTGCCCGTCTGGATGAAACCGGGGTGTTCCTAACTCATTTATCGGAAGGCATCTCGTGGAGAAACTCTTGCTGCATGGTCTTCTCTGCCAAAGCTGTGCTGGTGTCTTGAAACTGTTTCTGTAGCAGTGGCTCACTCCAAGCGTCCCCCTGAATCATGAAGCGGCGTGATGTTGTAAAGGCCCGGGCCCAGATGTCATGCTGCTACACAGACATTACATGCCTGTTTGTGCTTGTCTTGTCTCTGAATTTTGCACAGGGCAACACTGGAAAGGCTGCTGTTTCTTGTCTCAGGCACGGCATGGCGACAGCAACTTCCTGGACAAGGATGACGCTGAGACCTGAAGGGTTCTGCTTACTTGCCTGTGCAGGGTTTTGGGATCAGGGTCTAGGGTTAGAGTTTAAGGAAATGTGAAGCCAATGCGCATTGCACTATGCCAGCTGAGGACAAGCAGCAGGGGGAGAAGGCACTGAGGGCTTTGAAGCCGATTGCAGTCGACGCGGATCCGTTTCTGAGCCTCGAAGCTATGGAGACAATGCTCCTCCTATCCCCTTAGGATTTTTTGATTATTTTTTGTAGTATGATCCCAAGGAGCTGTCAAACATAGATATTGTTATTCTAGGTTTGTGGGATTTCAGGCTCGGGCACCAGCGCATGGAGATGCACCGACTCATTCACGGCTACCATGAGACTGCCATGAGATTTTTGATTCGAAAAGAATCAGACTACCGAAGGTCGGAGATGGAAGTGAAGGATTTGAAATCCCAGAATGAGGCTTACAAGAAAGTTGGGCAAGGATGGGAATCGCCTGTTGGAAGCAAGGACATCGGTGGTGGCGACAAATCCACTTTTGTGCTGAATGTGCAGCTTGAAAGAACGCGTGAGCAGCTTCTGGAGTGTGAGAAGCAGCACCGGTTTGCACAGGCCGAAAACTTTGAGCTGCGTGAGCAGCTTGCTGCGATGCAGGCTGTTGGAGCTGGTTACGGGGGCATTCTAAGCTCCCCCTTGGGTGCGCAAAGCAATCCCATGTGGTCTGATAGCTGGTCAGTGCCCAATGCTGAGTTCGCACCTCCAATGCATGAAACGACTGAAGATGGCCTCCCTGTGAAGGGTACAGTCACTGCCTTCTTGGAGAAGCTTAGCACGACTCAGTCCAACCCTCTTGACCGCCTGGAGCGGGCGCAGTCAAAGCTGGACGCGTGGGCTTCGCAGCACCATCCAAGGCCAGACCCTGCACTGGCATCACTGAACCAGGTGGACTACAGTACAATGGAACTTCCTGGCATGATGGACATCAAGCCAGACGTGGTTGAAGACAAGGTCACCACAAACGATCAGGATGACGATGAGGAAATTGCAGTTGGGTACATTCGCTCAGGCAAGAAAAAGAAGAAGAAAGACAACAAGCGCAGGAGCCTTATGATGAAGGACAGAGTTCAGGATCTTTTCGACAAGCCGCTGAATGTTAAGGACAAATACAAGACTACTGGCCTCACACAGAAAATCGTGCGCAGCGCGATGTTCGAGAACACCTGCATGGGGGTTATCTTCTTGAATGCTATCTGGATTGGCATCGAGATGAGCTTTAATCCAGCAGAAGTGCTGGCCTATGCCGACCCGCCTTTCATCATCGTGGAGAATCTCTTCTGTGTTTTCTTCTTCGTTGAGATTGTGCTGCGGCTACATGCATTTTCGAGGATGTGCAATGCCTTCCGTGACAGATGGTTTGTGCTCTTTGGTATGGAGCTACAATTGTTCTCTGTGTTGCCGGTTTTTCTCTTTGTTAGTTTTTTTGCAAGGCAAGCTACTGTCCATTCGTGTCCTTGCTGCTTGAGGTTTGACCTGACCCTCGTAATCCTGATGGCCCCAGTCTGAGATGTTTTGAGAGCTGGGACCAGGCCGTGAGAAGATGTGCTGAAAACAAAGCAGGTGCTGGAGACCTGGCTTATGTTCCTCATCATGACTGTGTCGACGGACACCTCGCAATCTCAAGAGCAGGCATGGTTGTGTAGTCACCGGCAGCGACGGCTAGACTTGTTCAGTCTATTGCATCACAGCGATGCAAGTCTCGCGAAGTGCTGGCCGGAACCAGATGTCCAGAGAGAGAGAGAGAGGTTAGCACAGCTGGGGTCAGCAGCGGTGATGTTCATATGTGGAAGCGCAAGTGACCATGCTGTAGATTGCTATCTGATTGGGGCTATATGATGATGTTTGCCTTCTGCGCGTTTCCATGTATGCTCGGTAACCGGGACCTGACACAGTGTTCGTGGACTGAACCTCGCCCTGCTTGGGGCATTGCCCCGGCCCCTCCTTAGTGGAGGGGTAGAGCAGTGAGAAGAAGAAGAAGAGGTTAGCTACCGTTTAAATCAATTCTCGGGCAACGAGGGGTCGTGTAACCTAGTATGCCCAACACGGGCTGGGCGGCGAAGCCCGGAGGTGGGAGCAATCCCGCCTCCATAGCCTGAACGAAAGAAAGCAAGAAAGAAAGGTTAGCTACCGTAGCCATTTTGGCTCAAGTCTCTGACCCTGCCTTCTCCGTTTGGGGGGCCGTCAGGCGCCGGCCCCTTCCTGGGGGTCTTCCCTGGACGGGCGAAGGGTGGACGTGGGCCCTGACGGGGAGAGGCTTGAGCAGCATACCGCTGCCATTTAACGTTCAAACTGAGTAACAGCGCGCCCCCACGCAGAGTTAAACCTGGACTGGAGGTTGGTGTTGAAGGTCACGCTGTCAAAAGGGAGTTGGACGTAGTTCACGCTGCCGAGGGAAGGTGGAACCCATAGGCCCCTTTGCGTGGAAAGCTGGAAACTCGGTGCTGTAAGACTATGTAGGGAATTGGAGTCTTTTTTGTCTGAGTAGGGTGCTGATCCGAATTGGGACTGAACTTCCTAGGCACCTTGCAGGGTCGAGATTGGGGGATGGGAAGAAAGTAAGCTTTGGGAGAAATGAGCGGAAGCCATGGCCGATCGCCGCACGCCTCAGACTGAGGGAGCCGGACATATGGATACACTTCATCGACAGCTGGAAGAGATGATGCAACTACAGGATTGGAAGACAGTGAAACTATAACACGCAAGAGACGACGTGGAACAGAGAGGCCTCCCGTTGCTACAGTGCAAGGGGAAAAGGAAGTTTGCTGGTACTGCAACTTTGGAGGAAAAATTAAGACGGCGCACACTTACAGGGAAGGCTGCCTCAAGTACATCCATGGTGCCACAAGGCTAGAGATGGAACATGCTGCAAGAGGAAGGAAAGCAGGCCGAAAGAGATTACTGGAGAAATTAGGGCAACAAAAAGCACAACGATCTCCAGCAGAACTTCGACAAGACCAAGTCAACAAGAAAAAGGAAAAGACCGAGAAGAAGGAGGAAGCTACGTCCCCAAGGACAAGTTCGACTACGGCAAGAGGAGAGACACTTCGACAAGACCAAGTCAACAAGAAAAAGGAAAAGACCGAGAAGAAGAAGGAAAAAGCTACGTCGCCAAGGACAAGTTCGACTACGGCAAGACGAGAGACACTACTACAAAAAGTGGGAAACAAGAAGAAGCCAAAAGAATCTCCTCCAGGGAACCCGACGGAGGAAGAATCAAGCCCTGACATGGCGGCGGTGATACTGGGAGAAGCAAAGGAAAGAGCAGTGAGGCCGAGGAAGCGGCAACTCACAGCTACCCAGCCTGCGGAGCGCACTACACAACAATCGCCAGCGAAATCCGGAGTGCCAGAACCACCGCAAGTGAAAGCCAGAGTTCCACCGCCAGAGTCAGCGAGAGTTTCAGAAGAGCTCTTGAGGCAGAGGACGGAAGAAAACCGGCGACGGGAACAACGACTGGAGTGGCAAAACTGGGAGAATGCGGCAAAGAAGTACATCCAGCAAAGCAGACAACTTCCAGAAAGGAGTGAGGCAAATGTGCCGGATGGTAAAGTTGAGACCAAAATGGAAAAAAGGAAGCAAGACGGCCCGACAGCTGAAGATGATCAGGAGGAGAACCGCCAAAGCCAACCATTGACGCCTCTGATCCCTCGAGATGAGTCCCCGATCGGAGACGGCAGTACTACGGAAGAACTGGAAGGGGAGGAAGAAGAACAGGCCAGTCGGAAAGAGCCACAACCACAACAAGCAAGATCCTCGGAAAGCTGGCGCAAGAATACAAGACCAGCAGAACCGCCGATGCAGGAGGAAGCTCACAGGAGAGGAGGCCCAACTCGGGCTGGACCAGATTGCGTATCTGACGCTGTGGATGCAGCAGAGCACAGAAAGAAGACAGGCCTGGGAGAGGGAATATCCTGATCAAGACAAGGACGTCATCAGCCTGGCAAGGGAACTGCAACATGTGGACGTGCAACTTGGCGACGGTGCAACAATGCAATGTATTCACAGTCAACTGATGAAATGGGGTATACCAGATATGGTAGAGATAGGGCTTCAGGAGCAGACGCCAGAGACACCTCAGTGCAGGGAGTAAACTGGAAAAGGTAAGAGGAGAGCATTTTCAATCCGTGACCAGACTGGACAACAAAGATACAACACGTGATTTCTTGATAGGGACAACGAACAATACTGTGACATGGGAGAATTTTGCGAAAATGGAGAAAAGTGAATTCAGCACGCCGCTGGGGACCTCTCCACATTAAGATGGAGGGGACCTGGCATACCGAGACCTTACCGTGACCATGCAAAATTCGCGATACCCGCCTGGAAGGGGATACGGTGATAGGGTGTAGGGGCTTACCTAAGGTGGAAGCGGTAAATTTGAAGTCGAAGACGACATAATTCCGGATGCAAGGGAGGTACGGAGAGAGATGTATAAAGCTGTGTAAAGGAGGAAATAGTGAAACAAAGGTAGGCGTTGCCACTGAAGCAGTGAGAAGCGAGGGGCACCTGGAGATTCAAATGAGCGGGAAGGGAAATCTTCATATGCCAACCTCCTCGGCTTCGTTCTCCGACTTTTTTCCCGGAAAGGTGAAAGCGCGCTGGATAGGGGACAAGGGTGCATATAGGGGTTTGCCGGGTATCGATCCAGCGAACGCGGAAGCCATCCTGCCAGACATATCGGACCGTGGGCTGGAGGTTCGCCTTCGCGACACCTTCGCGTGTCGCATAGCCTGTAGAAGAAGAAGGTTAGCTAACCAGGCCCACAGAAGAAGAAAGTTAGCTAACCAACATGCGTTCCCCCTAGGTATTGCCATAGTTCTGAATGGTGCCTTGAGGGGTGCTCTGAATTTGTCCGGCCGAGATGGTCCTGACAAGTTGCACGCGTACAGCTTTTACCCAGGGGCTGGAGCGAGTCGTGGAGCGATCGCTCAAAGGGATGAATAGGATTGGCATGGAGATCTCTCTTGTAGAGGGGTAGAGCAGCATGTTGTAATCAGGTTCCTTCCCTGTTGACCAACTCTTGTATGCAACATAATCCTGCACAATCTCTTTTGGTCAGAGCACACGGGGGAGGCCACAAAACCTAGTCAAAGCCACCGGGCAAAACAAAAGCAAAATCAAGAGCCTCGAAAGAAGAAATACTCATCTTCCCCTCCGGGGCTGGGGAGTAAGGTGTTGCTGTGCATTGTCTTACAATAGAGGCCGAACCCATGAAGTGTGCAGTAGCAAACTAGTCCTGACTTGCCGTCCTTTCTGCGACAGTGTGCAACCGACACCAGCAATGCAGGGAAGGGGCAGAGGGATGGGGGTTGACTGCGGTTTAGGAAGTGGTTGCCTGCTAGTCTGTTTCATGAATTTGTGACTGCCCTGATCAAGTTGAAGCCTGGTGTCCGTAGTTTGGGGTGCACAGCCCGGACTCGTGCTAGTAGCGCTCAAGATCGGGGGACCCTGAAATACCATCAGTGTCACAGCTGACGCAGTAGCGGTGAGGTGCATCTGGGGGCTGCAAGGGAATATGTTCGGTGATCATCTACCTAAGCGTGGCTTATAGTGTACTCCTGTTGTCTGCTTGGCCCCTAAATGCTCGGCAACCGGGTCCTGTGGCAGTTCGGACCAGCGCGGACCCTCATCCTGCTTGGGGCCTTGCCCCAGCCCTCTCCTCCGGGAGGGGGCAGAGCAGTGAGAAGAAGAAGAAGAAGGTTAGCTAACCACGAAACTATGAGGAGTGAACCAACCTGTCAGCCCAACACGAGCTGGGCAATGACGCCCGGAGGGGGCTCTGGTCCTCCTCCATAGCCCGAACGAAAGAAAGAAAGGTTAGCTAAGATTGGCGTCAGGGCTTTCCCGTTCTGCTGTACATAGGCAAAACCTGCCAGGCTGCAAAGGGGGCGTTTTCTCACAACTCTGTTGAGTAGGAAGTGGTACCAAGCTGGGGCTAGCTACTGCTGGTGGTTTGGAGATGGTAGAGGTTGAATGTCGTGTTGATGTGGGTGGTGCTGGTCAGAGTTTGGTATTGCTTCGGCTCTCTGGAGTACCGACCCTTGACTGTGGACCGATGCAGCGCAGGGCTGTGCCCTTGGAAGGGGCGTAGGCCTCTTCAGCGCTGGCAGAAGAAGAAGAAGGTTAGCTAAGAGTGGATGATATGCCAGGGGAGGTGATCGTAGGTGTTACCAACCGCTTAGTCGGGAGGAGAGTGCTACGTGCTCCGCATCGAGGCTACCTAATTTCAATATTGCAGGTAAGAATTCTGTCCCTTCGATATGTGGCGTGGGGATTGCTGGCACTCCGGTCCTTGCAGGGGTGAACACGGACTTGTGACTTGCGTGGCAAAGGGGTGCAACTTTTATGGGTGTCCTAGGACACTCGTGTGGCCAGTAGAAGAAGAGACAGAAGGCCCCGTATGTCTTGAGTTCTCCCACTGATGACCTCGTGCCTCTGTGCTGACCACTGACAGCGGGTTTAGACGTAACATTTGCAAGCGAGGCAATACAAGAGAGGGCATGCCTAACGCCTGTTCAATGTGTCCTTCGTTGCTGTTTGATGCTTGAGGATCCGACCTGCTCCGAAGCTTGGATGTTCGTGGACCATGCAGGGAACTGAACGTGTGAGAACTCGTCACCAGTGAAGCGGTTGTTCTCACGTGTTCACTTGCATTCTTCTTATTAATGTTGCTTGGTGAGTAGCTGAAAGCCGATAGACATGCACAGGGAACTCGCAGGTGATGAGCGAGCTATGAATTTGGTTATCCCTTCACGCTTAGGTTTAGGTTGGTTTGTTTACAAAAATCGGTAGAGCCGTCATCACACTGAAGAGCCTCCCTTCTCACTCGAACAAGCCCTGAAACTGAGGGAGAGGGTTTACCAGGGGTTCGCCTCTCAAACCCCAAGCAAAGCAAAGCGCGTTGCTGTGCCTTCGTAGCTTGAAAAGAGAGAGAGAGAGACTCCCAGCTAGGCAACAGTCCACAAGCTGTTTTGCACAGTTACCCCCCCAAGTGATGTGGTCAACAAAGGCAAGCTACAGGGCATGTGTTGCAGGCAAAGCCACCAAGAGATACCAGGGAATTGATTAGGCAGCCTTTATCAGTTTTCGCAGTTACCCCATAATGATGAAGTGGTTACTCCAGACAACACACATGCCCACAAGTAGCCTAAAAGCCAGAACAGCACCTGAAAGAGAAAATCTAGAATAATACATGCTTCCTTTAGCATAGTTGATAAGGCCAGAGTCCTTAAGACCCTTTCTCCTTCCCACTCCACAACGCTGGCAGGGGCAACCTTTTTCACCTTGCAAGGATACGACTTGCAACACAAAGTTTCGGGGCATGGGCGGCACAGTCAGATGACCTAAAGCGTAGTAAACTTCTAGGCCCCCTTACTTAGTCCCAGGTGTAAAGCCCCTACTCTGAAACAACGAGGGGTCGCTTAACCTGTCCGCCCAACATGGGCTGGGCATTGATGCGCGGAGGTGAGAGCAATCTCGCCTCCATAGCCTGAACGAAAGAAAGGAAGAGACTCCCACCTCCATATCCATAGCCTGAACGAAAGAAAGAAAGAGACTCCCACCTCCATAGCCTGAACGAAAGAAAGAAAGAAAGAGACGGAGATGGGGCTCGCCCCCTCTCCATAGCCTGAACGAACGAAAGAAAGAAAGAAAGAGAGCGACGTGGGCGTAGCCCGCAGAAGAAGAAGAGAGAGTGGCGAGGGGGCGTAGCCCCAGCCAACTCCTCCGGGGGTTGGCAGAGCCAGTAGAAGAAGAAGAGAGGGGCGAGAAGAAGAAGAAGAAGAGTGGCCAGAGTTACAAGAACAGCTTGGGCTATGATTACTATTGTTACTATTATTAGTACAACTACCATTGTTGGGCTTTGCAGGTCTTCGACTCTTCAGTCCTTCGACTTCTGAAGCTCTCACGCCTCACTCGTGTGGCACGGATTGCACGCCTCCTTCGCCAAGTGCCGGAGGCACGTTGACGTGAGGGGGTGAGGGCCGCAAGCGCCTTCAGGCCGGTTGTTTAGTTTGTTTGGCTTCAGGTGATGATCCTGCTAAAGGGCATTGGAGTAGCATCACGCTCTGTGTTCCTCGCCTGGACTTGATAAAAAGCAAGTGCAATTTCTTGGAAGTCCCCGAGCTGCCGAGCTGAGGTTCTTCACTTGTTTAATCCTCCTGTCGGGGCCCAAAGGTTCTTCCAAAGACTGGGGCATGGCATGTCATGTTAGCATGCTGAGCGCTCCAGGTCCGTTATCTACATCTTTGCTATCGCCTTGACCCAGCTTTCCGAAGATACTCCCCTGGGTAAAGCGTATTTCCCGACACTCGTAGATGGGATGTGCCGGACTGAGTGGACTGGAAATGCATCTGAAGATTTTGAATCCTTGGGCCTGCAGAGTACCACATTTCTTGCCGACCGAGGTTCTCGCTTCTCTTCCATGCTTGTTTCTTTCAGGGCCTTCCAGATTTCGCCCGTCTTTGCTTCCAGGCCAGCAGCGATATGCATAAGGAAGCTGTGTTGGAACAAACCCATCCTGATCTGTCAGGAGAACTTTCTTTACGGTTTCCTCCTCAGTCTCACAGTCTCGCATGCGCAGGCTATGTCCATGCCTCTGTTCGGGGTGTGATCTAAGGTTTGTCGCTGCTGGTCTTTGTGGTTCTTGCCCCTCTGACCGTCCCTTGCCTGGAGAGCGAGAGAAGCTGTGCCACACCCGACGCAGAAGAGCAGCGAGATGCAGCGAGCATCACCGGAACCGAGGTTATGAACCTTATAGTTGGAGTGCTCGTGGAGGTGGTTGGTGTTGTGGCCGCAGCTGAACAAGAAGCGGCAACCAGGAATGCTATCTTTGAAGCTCTACAAGAGGCCTCGTGAGCTGGGAAGTTGGCCCGTTTCAGTCTGAGTTGGGTTCTGCTTGGTTGTGATCTTCAGGCGCTCTACAGGCTGGGCACTACGAAGAAGGAGGATGTGATCTCGCGGGGCGAGTTTGCAGGCCTCGTGAATCGGCCTGATCTGGTGAGCATCTTCCTGGAATCCGGCATAGATGTCGTGGCCATCCTCCGTGATCCTGATCCCTGATCGCATGGAGTCGAAAATCCTGCCTCGTTTAATAAAGGGAAGGCTTAAACAGCCATGCACGTGCGCCAGGTGGCGCAAAGGTATAAGACTTCTGAAAAAAAGGGCTTGAAATGGCTTGAAACTGTAGTTGTGGACCATTGCAGTGAAATGTGCCGAAAAACCTGGAGCGGTAGTAGAAAATATCATCCACATGCATACTCGCAAAAATCCTTGCCCATGCTATTCTACCAAAGACGATGCAAGGACATGGTTTTCGCCGGCGAAGCCGAGATGAGCATTACAGAGTTTCTGGAAGAGACGATTGCACTCCGAGGCTCGAACCCTGCAACGGTCAGAGATCTTGGACAGCTGAAGCTGCAGAAGCCAGGATTAACCAGAGCCCCCATGGGAACTTGCTGCCTTTTGAGTAGAGTTCCACAGCTGAGGATCCTCCGAGAGATGAGAGCGCGCGGTCGTCCGATGCCCATGTCGAGGTAGACGGCAAGCTGTGGTTCTGGTAGGTTTGGGGACGGCAGCTGCCTGAGCCACTGCTTAGGACTTGGTTCCTTTATGTATAGGCACGAGAGGAGGCGGCGTTTGCAATTGCAAACGCCAATTTCCACTTGCAACCTGTGCGAGTCGTGTATCTTTCCAATATGGCTGTTACTCTTTCTTGTCTTTGTTTCGTACTGATTCATCTCATGCGGTATTAGCGAAGATAATGTCCAGGTCCTGGTTGTCGGGACCAAGCAACTGGCGAACGTGCTTCATGCGTTAGCTAGTTTTACTCGTGAGGTCTTCGGCAGAGCTGCAGACCTTTTGCAAATGCCATTGAACCACGTAGTAGGGTTACCCTGTACGTGTGCGAAGCACATGCGGAGCATGCAATGAATCCTGCAGAGCTTGCCCATGCAAATCTGCGGCCTTGCCTCCGGAGGAGGCACTTGTCGATATTGCTGGATTCCATTGTGCAGCGTAGGATGAAGTCGTTGAAGCAGAGGTGAAGAAAACTCGCTGCAACATGGATTAAAAGGTTGAGAGGGTCAGCCCTCAGAGTCCTGTCCATTTCCAAAGCTTTGCCGCGTCAGGTTGATGCCAGTTACATGGACTGCTTGCGTCGGTGGGTGTGAGCCTGAAGCCGGTGCAGTTGCAGTTGAGCCACTAGCAGTGCCATAAGCAGTGCGCTGAGGCAGATCAGAGACAGCGACAACAGGCCTGTGATGTTGCTGCATCGATGAGGACGCTTTACAAAACATCCTCTTGTTGGCAGCAGGCTTTCTGGCAGAATTATGGCCATCTCCTGGCGACGAGGCACAAAGTGCAAAGGCGGGAGCAGGGCAGACAGGCAGACAGGCAGACTCGGAAAAGGCTGGTTCTCTTGCTTGGAGGCTTCACCTGTCCTTGCGAGCATCCGGGCCGATTAGGCCTCTCACCCGGTTTTGTTGGATACTGGGGCAAAGCTCGCTTGCCAACAGCTGCAGCACTGGCAGAGTGCAGGAACGTGACGCTCTTGGTTTCAGACCTGCAGCACCGGCTTGGCTGGTTGTCAGATGCAAGCTCCAGGCCGTTCTTCTTGACGTAAAGCATGATTTCTGGCATCCACACCTCCTGACTGCAGGTATGCAGAGCATTACAAGATGTATGTGGACACGCTCCGCCAATGGCTCAGCTCCGTGATCAGCGCAGGGGGCATTTCCTGAACAGAATGGGTATGCAGCATGTACTGTTGGCTGTCTATTGCGAAATCAACGTCCTAGGTGACAGCTGCAAGAACGCCACTCTTCGTACGTGACTTGTCGAAAGCCAGCAAGTCGGAGAAACAGCTGCAATCAGTTTACAACATGGCAGCCTGACGCCATGTCCAAGCAAACCAGCCAGCTGAGGGATGACTTCCGCAAGGATGTGTTGAACGAGTTGAACGAACAAAGGTGCAATGACCATGAAAGGAAACCGTCAGCGAAGGGCCACATATGTGCCTCTAGCAGGCGAGCAGCCACCCTGGACAGCCTCAAATCGGCCCTTGGCTTAGATTGGCCTCTGGAGGATACATCCCATGGAAGACCTCGAAGGACATCAGCCACCGAATTGCAGCTCGTGAGCCTCGCGAAGTCTCGCTTCCCAGGCCGAAGTTAAGTTGCTGGGTTTTACATGCTGTATTTCTCATCATCCCTGCAAAGGCAAAGGACTGAGCCCACTGAAGCATTGCCCTCTGCTTCCGGCAACGGATCAGAGCTGCTTCTTGCATCAGCATGCACACCAATTTAGAAAAGCATTGGTTCCTTTGTTGCTGTTTAGTGTAGCTGGTCAGATACACAGAACTCACAGCTTTATCTCGGATTGATGGCCTCCATCGTTTGAGGTCATGCTGTTTGCTGAGGTGACAAAGCCAACCCTCATGGGGCCAACGCAAGTCGCGACAAACGCCGCTCGACCGATGGATTTGGATGCAGCTGCAGGTATTATTGGTGGCGATCCGCACATGTTGTTGCAGACCACCTTTTCCGGAAGTCCTTGCTAGGAAAGCTTTCCCAGAGTTTCTATTTAGGGGCTGCCAGGGAAGCCTGGAATTTGGCTGGATTTCGCTGCATTTCCAGGGCTAGACCCCGCAGGGAGCCAGTATGAACGGACTCCGGGGCAATTTTCAGGCTTTTATTGGTGGTGGCGGGGACACATTTGGAGTGCCTTAGATGTCTTGCCGCACCTGCACCGGCTGAGTCGAGGAAAGATTGGCAGGATCCGGGCACAATTCGCACCTGAACCCTTTGACACTGAGTCTCTATGGTGTTCCGTCCTTGTAGGAAAGACCTCATTCGCAGTTCTGCTGATCCAACAATGTATCGCTGGGTATCTTCTCATGCATTTTGCACCTCTTGCTGATTTACCTCTGTGCCCCCCCCTGCATTGTCTGATTTTTCAGCTTTCGCCCCGCCCACCCCGTTGGGTGCGAGTTGTCTCCTGGTTTCTTCCCTGGCTTTGCAAATCGCTGCTGTTCCCTGCCGAGTCAGGGCTTTCCGACTGGCGGCTTTTTTGTTTACTCTGCATGGTGCCATTGGAGTTTTGTGCACAGCTTGACGAGGCGACAAAGCCGATTCTAGAAGGCCCAGCTCAAGTGACGACCAGCGCCACTTGACTACATGTTGTTTCGGGCACCTGTCGTCCTGTTGTTGTAGACGTTTTGTAAATGATTCTTGCTATCTCCTGGCTTTTGAGGTCTTCTCTGGCTTCACA